TACGTGATAATTTTCCATTGTCATCGGTTATGCTGCTCTCGCGGTGGAGGAAAGAAGCGGCAGAAAGGCGTGCCAGGAGAGAGAAATCCCGCTGGTCTTTTATAGATTTACTCACGCCCCCGGAACCTTGTTTACGTGGCCCGTAACCATCCGTCGCTAAACATTTATCGTCTCCTTGGAACAAAACCGTCGATAACGTTATTATTACCATTATACCTGGTGCCCCGAGGCGTTCCCCGAGTGCTTTTCGCTCTTGAAAGTATCGAAAGTGCTTTTTAAGATGAGGATCGCGCCTGGATCCGAGAGGAGCGCATCTCTCTCCTCTCCTCGCGCTCGCATCCGGGATCGTACGAACGAACACGCGGCGTAGAGGTAACCATGCTGCAACCGTAAATTGATGGACCACGTTCACCGTGGTACAGTAATTGAAACTCTTGAACTTAGCAAATGAAATCTCGGTATACCCTCCCCCCTGCACCCTCCCTGGTGATTGGTATTATTATTCCAAGGGACCAGGACGTTCACAGCGAAATTACAAGCCTGGTTGAAACGCGCAACTTCGTGGAAACTCGACTCTCGCGCGCTGTAAAATCCAAGGGATCCTCTCTCTCTCTCTCTCTTTTTCTACGCATATGTAATCGCTTCTGTGTGTGTGTGTGTCTGTGTGTGTATATCTGTTCCCTTGTCGCTTTTATTATTTGCCTTTCCACCGTTTTACTCCGTAAAACGCGCGTCGTGTTGGGAAGTTAAACGTACAGTTAAATGTCTATAATCCGTCGCCGTTTGCACAGGTTCGATCGTTCCCGTTGACGAAGGTGTTAAGAAAATCACGATCCTTCTATCTCACGTAGAATACTTGCAGCGACGTGATTGAATATTTTTGCTTCTAATAGTTTTCTAAAGACTCGTATATACACGCGATCGACGATGAGTCGATGGACGTGTATTCATCACGAAGTCACGATGTCTTCAGCTCGAAAGAACCTTTCGTTGTCTCTTGTAAAAGACATTTGGACACTTGTACAAGTATTTTGTCAACAATATTGACATTAGAACGACGATACGACGGATCTCGGATCTTCCTTTTCATAAAATCGTGTCGAGAAGGCACGAACATTTCTGCGAAAATTAATCAATCGATTTCTGCATCTAGACGAGAATGTAATTGTATAAATCTATTTATTTCAACCACTTCATTCAATGATTTGTAAATTCAATGTGAGGAAGATTGAAGAAAATAGCACGGGCAAAGATCCTCAGAATTTCACGACAGGTCGTCGATACTTGTCCTAGATTATCTACTCCAGTGTGTCGATCCTATGCTGGCTTCAAACAAATTGACAAAACCCACTAAACCAACTAAGGAACAAAAAAAACTTGAGCGGAATGGAAACCGAGAATATTTTATTATATAAGAAATGAAGAAGACGCAAAAAGAATATTCGAACGCGAAATTACTTTTTGGACCAAAAATAAAAATATTTAAACAAATACATTTTACCCAGTAATATATATATATATATATACTCTTTTATCCAGTAATAATAATACATTTTAATAATAATATATTCATCCAATAATATTTGTAATGATAATATATTTACATTTATAGTAATAATAATTATCGAATATAATATTACTAGATATATATAAAACAGGATATTGTTACTAGGGAATTAAGCCTAGACGAAAAGATTAAAATGAAATCAATCGAGCAAAACGTGTCCACAAATCGTCAAACAGTCGTCGTCATTCTTCGTCAAAAGAAGATCGATTACGATACAAAGTTCGTAGCGGATTGTTGCACAGGTCATTACATTATAGCAGAGATACAATGCGCATTACCGAGCAATGCAGGCAGAGGTTCGTCAGTTTTATCTTTGCCTATCTTTGCGGAGGAGCGGATAACGAAGGCCGAGGCATTCGGTTCGTAATGACGAGGCCAAAGATCGTAAATTACAACGGGCCGAGAGCGGGAGGAAGCGGCGATCGGCGGAGAAAGAGAAAGAGAAAGAGAAAGAGAAGAGAATGCTCTCGGGGACTGTCGATGAAAGGGGAAGTTGGAACGGTTGCTGGCACCAGCAATGATCGCGTGGTTCGTACCAACGCACAGAGCGCCCTCGACCACGTGGAGATGTATTATACTTCTCTATACCACGCTGGAAACGCAGTTTGTCTTATCCTCCGTCATCTAGCAATGCTGCGAGAGAGGAGCATTGCTTTACGACTAATGGACTTGCACCGGTAAATCACCGGGCCAACAATACGCGGCGGCACAATTTACGAGGGTATCCGGAGCCGGCATCGATTCTCTCTCGTCCTATAAAAAGATCGGGACGTCGAAAGTTGAGAGAACGTGTCTCGAAACTTGTGCTTGTGCTTGCCGCGTTTTCCTCGAGAAGAGAAGTCGCGACTTTTTCGACGAGAAAGTTCCACGTTTTTGCGAAACAGTGGAAAGGAATGGATGCTAGGTAGAAATTCGCATCGCCTGAAACTGAAC